GCAAGCCTCTCTGCTCCTATGATGCTGCTTGGCCTGCTGTGTTCATCCAGCCCTGCACCTTGTTGTCTAAGACACAATTGCAGTTGCATTTGGTAGAAAATTACAGCATGATTGCCGGTCTGAAAAACAGGCCAGTTATCCAGGTGCGCTCCTCATCAGTTCGCTCCCCCACTGACTTTTTCCATCATCGTGTTCAGGCAGAAGGCTTGGACCTGAACTGTGAAATTCCCTTAGTACCATCTCTCCTCCCATCCCCACCTCCCTCTCCCTCCCATTCCACACTCCCCCCACCCTCCCTCCCTTCCATTTCACCCCCCTATCCCCTCTCCCTTCCATTTCATCCTGATGTCTGCTTTAAAAACACTGGGAATCTTGGTCATATTGAAGCTTACTGGATCCATGTTCAGAGCAGAAAGCTGAGAATTGCATTCAGAGCAAGACAGTTACAGTTCCTAACAGTACATGAAATCACTGCGAGAGCCCTGTGGGGAAGAGGGGAGTATGAATGGTTAATCACAGCAAGGAAATTACTTTCTGCAGTGCACAGATACTCCAAAGGGGATATCTGGAACACTGTCCTACTACACACTTTTCCCTACAAAGCACAAGTTTGGGACAGATTTATGTATTGAGGGATGTAGAAGAAAGGCAGATGAGACTGCAGTTATAGTATGAATTAGCCAGGATGTGATTGGATATTGGAACAACTTGAATGGTTGAATCTGTCTATCTCCTTCCTCCTGTGATTGACTCGTTTCCTTTAATAGAATCCCAACAGTGTAGAAACAGGCCATTTGGCTCAATAAGTTCATAGAATCATAGAATTCCTACAGTGTGGAAACAGGCCCTTCGGCCTAACAAGTCCACACCGAACCAGACCCATCCCCCTATAACCCACCTAATCTACACACCCCTGAACACTACGGGCAATTTAGCATGGCCAATCCACCTAGCCTGCACATCTTTGGACTGTGGGAGGAAACCGGAGCACCCGGAGGAAACCCACGTAGACACGGGGAGAATGTGCAAACTCCACACCAACAGTCGCCCGAGGGTGGAATCGAACATGGGTCCCTGGCGCTGTGAGGCAGCAGTGCTAACCACTGAGCCACCATGCCACTCCAAAGTTCATACCAACTCTGAATAGCATCCCACCCGATCCACTCCCCTACCCTATCCCTGTAACCCTGCATTCCCCATGAATGATTCACCTAATCTACACATCCCTTGACACTATGGGCAATTTAGCATGGCCAATTCACCTAACCTGCACATCTTTGGACTATGGGAGGAAATCCAAGCACCCGGAGGAAACCCACATAGACACAGGGAGAATATGCAAACTCCACACAGACAGTCACCTGAGGCTAGAATTGAACCTGGGCCCCTGGTGCTGTAAGGCAGCAGTGTTAACCACTGAGCCACCATGCTGCCCCTTCTGTTGCTTGATAAAGATTAGTTACGGATATGGGTGAGAAACAGATACATGGAGTTGCGATAAAGATCAGCCGTGATCAATTGGATGGTGGAATAAGTTTGAGGGCCGAAGCTGCCTTTGGTTTTACAACCATAGAGAAACCTGCGTTGTTAGCACTGACTTGTACTGCTCAAGATTAAAGGAAGTACAAGTGAACAGTGTTCATGTGAGAACTGTTTTGTGGTTTGGATAGTGCAATTGGCAGAGGATGTTGGGAAAGAGGAGCTTGTTAAGCAGAAATGGTATCTGCAGTGGAAATGTCAGAAGGTGATTAAATGTAGAGGCTATGGAATTGGGATCCTATTGTCACTGAATTGCACGTAATCTGGCTATTTCATGGCTTCTCCCTCTACATCATTGGTGCTGTTCCCCTCCCTCATTTGGAACTGGAAAGATTTTTCAATTTTGCTTCCAATTTCCACCCTGCCCTCTCCTTCACCTAGTCCATCTCTGACTCCTCCATTCCCTTCCTCGACATCTGTTTCCATTATGCTGATAGGCTGGCCACCAATATCTATTACAATCTGTTTATAAATATTATACCTATTATGAATTCAGTGGATTGGCCATGCTAAATTGCCCATTGTACCCAGGGATGTGTAGCGTAGGTAGACTAGCCATGGGATATGCAGGGTTACAGGGATAAGGTAGGGGATGGGTCTGCTCTTCAGAGGGTTGGTGTGGACTCGATGGGCTGAATGGTCTGTTTCTGCACTGTACAGATTCCGCAAACCCACTATCTCCCATAGTTGCTGTGACTATGCATGCTCACACTCTACTTCTTGTAAGGTCACATCCCATTCTCGAAGTTTCAGAGTCTTTGTTGCATCTATTCTGATGATGCCGTCTTTCTGTTCACCTTTTTCCTCAACAAAGTCTACTGAGTGGACAGGACCCTTGGCCGTGTTCGACCGATCTCCTGCATTTCTGCCCTCACCCTTTCCTTCCCACAACACTGATAGAGTCCCAGTGGTCCTTATTTTCGACTCCACCAGCATCCACATCTATCGGATCATTAGCTCCCACTTTCTGCCACCTCTAGCAGGATGCCATACCAGACACATCCCTCTTTCTTCCCTTGTCAGCATTCTGCAGGGACCATTCCCTCTGAAGCACTTTGGTCCACTCCTCCTCCACGCCCAACACCTCCCCACAGTACCTTCTCATTGCAATCAAGAAGGTGTAACACTTGCCCATTTACCTCCTTCCTCACTATCCAAGATCCCAGACACACCTTTCAGATGAAGGAGCAATTTACTAGCACTTCACTCAATCTAGAGATAGTAGGAACTGCCAATGCTGGAGTCTGAGATAACAAGGTGTGGAGCTGGATGAACACAGCAGGCCTGGCAGCATCAGAGGATCAGGAAAGCTGATGTTTCGGGTCAGGACCCATCTTCAGAAATGGGGGAGGGGAAGGGGGCTCAAATAAATAGAGAGGGTGAGGCGATGATAGAAGGTGGATAGAGGAGCAGATAGGTGGAGAGAACTCCTCCCACTTCAACTCCTCCCACTTCCTACAGACGAAAGGAGTGGCCATGGGTACCTGCATGGGCCCAAGCTATGCCTGCCTCTTTGTAGGATACGTGGAACAGTCCCTCTTCAGCAGCTACACTGGCACCATCCCCCACCTCTTCCTCTGTTACATCGATGACTGTATCGGTGCCGCCTCGTGCTCCCACAAGGAGCTCGAACAGTTCATGCACTTCACTAACACCTTCCACCCCAACCTTAAGTTCACCTGGACGATCTCTGATACCTCTCTCTCCTTCCTGGACCTCTCTGTCTCCATCTCTGGTAACCACCTGGAAACTGATATCTGTTTCAAGCCCACCGACTCCCACAGCTACCTAGAATACACCTCCTCTCACCCACCTTCCTGCAAGAATGCTATCTATTCCCAATTCCTTTGCCTCTGCCACATCTGCTCCCAAGATGAGGCGTTCCACTCCCGGACATCCCAGATGTCCTCGTTTTTCAAGGACTGCAATTTCCCCTCCACAGTGGTTGAAAACGCCCTCGACCGCGTCTCTTGCATTTCCCGCATCTGAGTCCACTCCCCGCAATAACAACAAAGACAGAATTCCCCTTGTCCTCACG